TGTGGGGAAAGGACGTAGGAAAGTTGTTTTCCTTGTTTGACAACGCATCATTAAGTTTTTCCTCTGTATAAACTCTTTATGGAGAAACTTTTCATCCATTTCACCAAATAAATCTCCTACCTCCGGTTCACCAAGAAGACTCCTTGCGCGCTTCAGTGCTTCACTTGAAACAGATAATGACCTTCCACCTACAGTATGAAACTTGATTGGAGGTGGCTTGGGAACTGAATCAAACATTAAAATAAAGTTAAATAGATTATATAAACGTTTACGTGGAGTAACAGTAGAGGCAACATCATCTTCATTGAGGATTGATATTGCTTTTGAAATTGAAGATTCTTTCAACGTCATAGAGTTACCAAATTCGGTTCTAAACATCGGGTACTTATCTATTCCTCTATTATCGTTCTCAATAAGCTTCGAAGATCCTACATACATACGATCTATGAAATTTGAGTCAGCGTACAAAAATAAAATACAGCGACAGAAAGATTCATAGATTATTACCTTCAAGTAGGAGATCGACCATGGAAGGGTATAGAGCAATAGGAGTTCCTTTCGAGTCATCATCGAGTTTCGACGGCGATATCGGTCCGATAGCCTCCCAACGATAATTTGATCCATCGTCAAAGCAAATACGCCACGTAGACATTCCGACGATAATTTCTCTTACTCAAGGCAACACCTGCTCATTTTTTTCTCATATACGTTAGCTTTATGGGATTTCCCCATTTTTCAGAATACCAACAAAAACAAAAATGAAAAAGATCATTAGTGATAAGAGGGATCAAACCGTGCAATTGTGTTATAGTTAGTCGGTGAGAGGGTCGATTTGGTCACCAGGACAGACAAAAGACGACGTCACTTAGAATCGTGTGAGGGTCGTTGTTGTACCAGAGAAGAAACTGTGAGGGAAGAAGAGTTGAAATTGTTTTAGGCTTCGGGTAGGAGAAAAGAGAGGACAAGATATTTAACATTTTACGGCATTTTTTAAAAAAACGATGCTAAAGTATTATTTATTACGGTGTTTATTCGAAAAAGCCACATAAACAAACCTATTATGGTGTTTTAGATATAAACGCCACTAATTTACCATTCTATTACGACGTTTGTGGTATAAACTCCACTAAATTACCAATCTATTGCGGAGTTTGGGCTAAAACCCCGCTAAATGTGTACTCTATTACGGTGCTTGTGGTATAAATGCCGCTAAATTACCAATCTATTGCGACATTTAGGCTAAAACGCCGCTAAATGTCTACTCTATTACGACATTTTTACTATAAACGCAGCTATTGATTAAACCTTCTGTGGCATTTGTACACAAAACGCCGCTAAAGTCTCAATTTATGGCGTTTCGATTGTAAACGTTGCTATATGTTTAACTTTTATGGCGTTTACTCTCCAAACGCCGCGAAAAATACCGTTACATAACAGTTTTGTTCTAGTGTCTTTCTTCCTTGAATAAACTAGCAGAGGACGAGTAGTCTCCTAAATCCCTTGTTTTGATTTAGGGGTATTACGTTCTGTCTCGGGTTGTGTGGTTTCAAGTTGGGTTAACTCAGGTTGGTGAGTAGTAAGGGGTTGCTGGGTAAGTACTAGAAAATCAAGGAGGAAGAGGTCTTTGTCCTTATCTTCTATGAATGAGATATCCCCTAAAGATAAGGATGAGTAAAGTAATTTTCTCCTTCTACACAAGTAACATTAGTATATATAAAATGTTTTTTTTGTGGGAGGATTGTAATATTTGTACCCCTTTTGGGTGGAAGAATATCCAAGAAATATACATTTGACTACTTATGGGTCAAGTTTCCCCCTGTTTTGAGAATGTACGTGTAAACGTGTAAAAATATAACACAACCTAATATTTTGGGAGTAAGGTTATTTGAGGTATTGAAATTAGGAAAGAACTTGGTTAGAAATCGCATAGGACTTTAAGACTCAAGCACTTTTGTAGGCAGTCTATTTATCATACAAGTATCACTTAGGACAGCCTCCCCAAAATATTGTTTAGGAACATTTTTCTAGAACAAGAGAACCATTGTGATAGCTAAAATGTGGTCATTTCTTCTTTCAGCTACAACGTTTTGTTGGGGAGTACTAACACAAGACGACTCGTGTATAATGCCTTTTTCTTGAAACTATGGTGAGAGAAATTGGTTGAAATAGTCTTTGGCATTGTCAGACCGAAACCTCTTAATTTTAGCACTAAATTGAGTTTTGATCATGTCATAAAAAGTTTGAAAAGTATAGCTCACATCATATTTTTGTTTTGGAAATATTTAAAATAGAGGATGGTCTCAAACATCACTATGGATAAGAGTGAATGGAGCAGACGTTTTTTTTATTGCTCACTAGAAAAATGATATGTTTGTGTTTTGCAAGCTCGCAAATATCACAATGAAAGTTTTCAACATTTAACCCTTTGAACAATAAAGGAAACATAATTTTAAGAACTTTAAATGAAGGATGACCAAGGCGAAGATGATAAAGCCAAATTTGGTTTTTATTGATCTTAATAGATTTGGAGAGGAAAGATAATGGTGAGGAATTTAGAACACTAATTTGCCCATTGAATTCTCAAAATAGTATAACTCATTTATTTCCTTAGCATGTCCAATTATCCTCCTCGTACCTTGTTCCTAGAAAACACATCGAGTGGGATAAAAAACCAAACTACAATTAGAATCTTTGGTAATCTTTTGAATTGATATAAGATTGGTAAACATCTTTGGAACATGAAGGACATTTTTAAGGGTGAGAGTTTTGCTTACAACAATATCACCTTGACCAGCCACTGTAATCACTGAACCATCAGCTACGGTTATCTTTTTATTACTAGGATAGGGTGTATATGTAATATTGTGAGGATTGGGTCATGTGGTCTATAGCTCCTGAGTCAATGACCCAAGAGTCTTTGGTAGGTATATCCGAGAATTTATAGTTTTGAGAAGATGATATATTTGAAAAAACTAAACTGCAAGTACCTGTTGAAGAGGGTTTTTCTAGTGATCCCAGTAGACTCTTTAGTTTCTCAATTTCTTTTCTATTGAACTCAACAGGTAAATCTTGAGGACTACTTTCTCCAATCTATTGTCTTTTTGTGTATGCCTGCCTTTGTCTCTTCAGTTGTCTACTTTTGACTAAAAACTTTATATTTGTTATTTGTGGCTTCCCATGAACTTTCCAGTATTTTTCCTTAATGTGGTGAGGTTTATTGCAATATGTACACCATAAGGAGTCTTTGTTGAGTGACCTTGTAATTCGGTTTGCCTATTTTCTTCGCTGGTTGGTTGATCCATGCCATCAAATTTGTTTTGTTACAGTATTTGTCACCAAGGCTGAACCTTCCACCTGCTTATTTTTTATCATAACTCCTCTTCTTCCTTCCTTAGCACGAACAATTGCAATTGTCTCATTCAACTATGGCAGATCCTCCTTCCCAAGTATCTAAACCCTTATTACATCAAACTCAACATTTAGTCCCTCAAGAAAATCATAAATTCGATCTTTTTCAACAAACCTTTTAAGAAATATTGCATCTTTACTGCATCTCATTTAAATGAAATGGTAATGATCCATTTTTTGCCATAGACCTTACAGCAGGTTGGAATATTCTGTAATTGATCTGTTTCATTGCTTGATGGATGAAATATTAGTCTTGATTTCATATATTTGGGTTGCATCTTGAACTTTTAAGTAAGTATGCCTCACAACTTCCCATATTTCTTTGGTTGTGCTGAGAAACATGAATGTATCACTTATTTCTAGCATCATAGAGCTCCATAGACAAGATATCACCATACAGTCTTACTAATCCCAAGCATCAAATCTAGGGTCTTTTCTTTAGGTCCATTTCCGAGTAGGTGACTCAATTTTCCTCTCTCCTTCAAGAACGTGCGAACGAGTTGAAACTATTTCAGGTAATTCTTCCCATTTGATCTGTAAGCTGCTTGGATGTTTTACAACTCACTTGTTTGGTTTAAGAAACTTCCTTCATTCACTAGGACTTCTGAAGTAGCCCCAATGTTGTTGTTTTCAACAACTTCACCCATGTTTTTCTTGAACGACCTCTATAGGTTTGGAGATAGATCGTGAGTGATAAAAGGCTACCAGAAAAAGGGGGGAAACTCCCAGAATTGAGCTAAAAAGGGCTCTAGTACCATGTCAAAAAATACCTTTTTCAATAAATTACATCATAGGAATTTTACACTGATATAGACATAGTAAGCCTAAGGAAAAACTGGTAATATTTGATCTTCTCTCTTGTCTTTTAAAATTGGGTAAAGTATACAAATGGTTTCCCAACTATAGAATGTTGCTATGTTAAGTCCATAACTATTAAAAGTTATAAATTGGTCCTATAACTATAGACGTTTCTTTGTTGAGTCCTTCAACTATTAAAAATTATAAAATGGTCACCCGACTATTCATATGTTCCAAATTCATCCATTTCATTTAAAAATTTGACGGTAGTCTAAGTTAGACATTAACCTGCTGACTAAGATATGCTAAAATCTCATCTCAAACTATCAAACAACTATCATATCTCAATCAACATGTTAATCTCCACCTTAGACGACCGTCAATTTGTTACAAAAAAATGATGGTGGAACATGTGAATAGTTGGGTGACCATTTTGTAACTTTTAATAGTCGAGGGACTCAACAAAGCAATATCATATAGTCGAAGGACCATTTTATAACTTTTATTAGTCGGTGACTCAACAAAGTAACATCCTATAGTCGGGGACCATTTTTGTACTTTACCCTTTAAAATTTTAGTGAAATTTTAAAATGGAAACATTATTCTCTATTCCGGAATGGATCAGCGGATCTACCGTTAGGCCGAAGCAAAGGCTTGATGTATACGCAGTTTTCCTCTGTTAAGAACTAACTTTAGCTCTGATTACTCTTTCTCATTTGGAATTTATTGGTGACAAGTTAGATACATTCCTTTATTTTTTTTTAATATTTTTAGAAAAATGGAGGAAAATAGATTTGAGGATGATGAAAACGATCAGACGGATTCCCATTGATTATTCCATGAGAACAGTACCAGCTACTTCTGACTCTTGAACTTTTTCCTCCTTTTTAATGGAAATTTTAGGGTTTTGAAATGCCTGTGATGTGAGAAAATATTTGCTACTCTTAGCGTCTGATGATTATTTCCACCAAGATCTCTGAGTCACTTTTGATTGTTTCCACTTAAATCTTTTTCTGTAGAAATGGGAAGGTCGTTACCTTTGATTTTTCTAATTAATTTTTATTTAGATTTTGGAAAAAAAGAGGATGATGAAAACAATCAAACGGATTCCCATTGATTACTCTATGAGAACATTATCAGCTACTTCTGACTCTTGATTATATTTGTCATTAATTATCTTTATTTTTTAGAATATTGTTTTTAAATGGCTATTCTTTATTATGGACTATGATGAATGAGGTTTGGTTGAATTTTCTCCCATTCAACCCGATTAGAGTGCTATCTTTCTGGCTATAGTACACCTATTTTCCTTTAGTATCTAAACATGTTTAGTTTTGATTTTATTTTAATGTTTCATCATTAAAAAAATTAATGATAATGTTAAAGCATCACTCATGATAAACACGGGATTTGAATCTAATGGTTTTGGCCTGACTTTTGGGTTGGATTCTTTTTTTAAAAAATAAGAATAGGTTTGAGTTGAGTTTGAGTTTACGGAGAAAAATATTTATTAAAAAACATAATTTTATCTTATATATTTAAGAATAATTTTAATAATATGTCTTTATATATTAGTTTTTTTTAATTAAATCTCTATTTTATTGAATAAAAATAATATTTTCTATAAATATATTATTTCAGGTCGGGTAAAATTTGGGTTTTATTTCAAAAAGGTAGATTGAATTTAGGCAGGTGAAAGTTTAAAACTCTTCAAGTTTAATGTAAATCGTCATCTTTACTCTTCATAATATATATTTTATCCATTTGATGATTATTTCCACTAACATTTGAGATTATTCTGTATAAAAATAATTTAACTATCCAAAACCGTCTGTAAATAAGTGAGTGAAATACTTTATAATAAAATATTTTATTATTTTAATTTAAAGAAGTCCATGTTTCTTTGTAGTTCGACTAATGATAAATAATTATCTAATACGATTTGGTGCTTAAAATTTCAATTATTGATTCAATTAGAAAAAATGAAAATAAAATTTATTAATAGATTTATTTTTGGATAAAAATTTAATAAATAATTAATAAATTCTTTTCGGAGAAAATGATGAAATGTAATCAGAAATCAAAATTGGTTGTTATTTTTTAAAACTAATTAAAGTTAATATCAATATTACTAATTATTAATTATTGAATTATTAATTATATAATAGATACCTTTAATAATTAAAATTTTAAAAAAAATTAACTACCCATTTACGAAAGGAACAACTTCTTTAGAAATTTAATTTTTTAAAATAATTCTTAAATTGATTTTGTAAATCAAATTAACATAATTTTATAATAGATTTCAAACTTCAAACCCAACTTTTCAAAATTTAGTCTGATAACTACTACAAACTACTAATAACTATTAAGCCCAAAATGATTTTGGAAAAATCATTAAAAGACGAAAAAAATGTATGTGTTTTACCAAAAAATAATTTTTAAGAGTTTGCTAGTCAATTACGTGTGGGGATGGGTGAGCACCCCCATATCGCCCAAGTTTAGTACCTAAACGATTATATGATGTCTAAATGTTGGGAAATTACAAACTCGAATATATATATTTAAATTATGATCCTTTTGTTCATTCGAATTTATTTTGAATTGAGTGAGATTTATTAAAAAGAATTTGATTTTAAAAAATGCCTGGTTCACTCAAATTTATTTTTAGAAAGGATGTCCTTTTAATTTGAAAGAAAGTTAACAAAGATCGCCATCTTTATTAGTTAGGACACTATCTCGTTGATTATCCAAATTAAAACAATGTTGCCTTCAAATTTATTAAAACCAAAAAAATAAGATGACAAGGGTGATGAATGCAACAATTAAGACACATGAATGCATTTAATAAAGAAATAACATAGTAAATAATATTTATATGTACATATTTATTATTTATAAAAAGGTGGTTGTTTTTTTTCGTTTATTTTTAAGAACAAAATAAAATATAATTTTTTAAAAAAAAGAATGTTCTCGTATGAACAATACTCGAAAATACACTTCCCTTGTCAGGAGACTTTTTCATTGATTCCTCACACGAAAGAACATTGACTTGATTTTATTTAAAACAGTGTAACGTTATATTATCAAATAAGAATTCATTGATTAGAAGGTGACAACTTTTGTACGAACAGTCTTAAAAAACACACTTCCTCTTAACTAGGAGGCTTCTTCATAGATTCCTCTCACAATAGAGTTATCACCTAGTTTTTTAAAAAAGATCGGAACCTAAAGAAAGTACGTTTAATATTTAATAAATGAATAATACATATGAATATTTAATGTATAAATAATATTAAGAAAACGTGCAATTAAAATGTATGTATATATATGCAATTAGTATACGAATAAATAAATGGAGAAGGAAACTTATAACGTAAATGCTATATTAAATAACCAACAATTAAAATTAATGGGGGCCATGTGAATGTTAATCTAACCATGAAATATGAAGGATAATAAGTGGGAAGAGCTAAATAAAAGGAAATGTGTAAAAAAAAAAAAGGCAACATGCTCCATATGATAGGCAAAAATAAAGGAACATAAAAATGAATAGAAGATAAAAGGCAAAAAAGATGAACGAAGGAAACAAAAAAAATAAATGGCATAAAAAATATAACCGAAACAAATAACAATAATAATAATGCCAAACAGAGAATATATAAACAAGGGAGTAAAAGTGGAAAGAAAGAAAAATAAATAAATAAATAGTCGTGCATTTGTATCAAATTAAAGTAAAAATAAAATAAAAGAATCAGGTAAAATTAAAAGACATTATAGATAGTCAAGGGACCAAATTGAATTAAATACGAAACTTCACAACTCAAATCAATGCAAAAGGGAAAACAAAATAGACCATGAATGATAATAGTGACTAAAAAAATAAGTTGCAGAGTGAGATACAGAAAAGTAAGTGCTGGAAGTTTCAAGGACTAAAATAAAATGCTGCAAATTAAAAGGAACAGAAGTCAAAATACTGAAATTTAAAGTGCTGGAAATTTAAAGGACTAAACTAAAAGATTAGAAATTAAAGTGACCGAAAAATAAATACATAAAAATTAAAATGCTGGAATGATAAATAAAAGGAAATATTAAATTGCATAAATTTCAAAGTCAAGGGTCATATTTTTTTAACATTTTAACACGGACCATAAATAATGCGGATCATCCCTAGGGTGGGTCACTGCAAGGTCGTTGAATATTCGAATGTTAGGAAGTTAGCGGGTTAGTTTGAGCAATAAAATAAAATGTTAGTAAGTTAGTATGAACAAAAAAATATATATTAGAATATTAGTATGAACAATAAAAATAAAATGTTAGAATGTTAATATGAACAATAAAAATAAAATGTTAGAATGCAAGTATGAACAATAAAAAAATGTTAGAATGTTAGTAGGATAGTGATTAAATTAAAAGAAACAAAAATAAATGGGTTAAATAAGAATAAATAAGACATGGAATATAACAGATTAGTGACTTATTTACAAAAACTAAAACTAAGGTACCAGAATTAAAAACATTAAAAAACGCATAGATATGGTGACCCGAATGTAAAACACGGTAAAAGGAAAGGGGTATGCGTGATTTCACTATTTTCTTTAATATATATCCATTTTTTATTCATTTTAGGTATAACCCTAGCCACCATCTTTTTACTCATTTTCTTTTTTCTTTCAAGATCTCTCCCTCTCCCCTACATCTCAACCCGTCGGCGTCACTCTCTCAAGGCCAAAAATGGCCGGCCACCGGTGGTCACCCTACTCCGATGACCCTCAAAAACCTCCTTTTCTTCTACCCTAACCATGATCGTGCCCAAAGACCCCGAAAGGAACCCAAAACCTTTTTTATTTTCCTATGATCGAAACCAAACAAAAAAAAACCTCCACCACCACTCCACGGCAGCTCTCCCTCTTCGGCCACCACCACCGGCGGCTGACTGACACCAAACTCAACCTAAAAGACCTAAAACTTCCACCTTTTTATTTCCTAAAACAAATCTACCAAAAACCGAAACAAGACCCCTAAAGGTTCACATTTTTTTTCGACGATGGCTCCTATTCTAGCGAGGAAAACCCATCGCTAAGGTAAAAATTCTAACTTTATTTGGTTTTGGTTACTTCTTTCGAATAGTAAAAAAACCACGAAAAATAATAAAGAAAATACATTGGTTAGTTATTTGAATCTAAAACTTTTATATTTTTATTTGATCTTTTGAATGGTTTTTTCTTTATCCCAAATACACTGTTTTGATGGGTTTATATACCCAGTTTTGTTTACAATAAATAAGAAAAAAAAAGTAATCTATTTTCCTTGCTTTTTTTTGCATGGCAGAGAGAGGAAAGAGCTTTTCGGAGGAAACCACGCCTGATCGGAGCAGTCGAGTATGCATGCAAGAGAATCACGAGTGACCGGCACAAATCTCGTCGGGCGACGACGAGCATGGAAGCTCCACGTTTGGTGGCAGCGGCTGGTTGGGTTTAGGAGGAAACCCTAACTTGTTTGGGTCCTCCCACATGGGCCCGTATTGTTTTGGGCTCCCGGGTTTGATTTGAACTTGGGTTGTGTGACTTCATGATTTAAACCAAAACATGCAAGGTCGATTATCATTTAGAAATGTTCTGACCATGATAACGTGATAACAATGAAACGTAAAAATATTATAAAATGATACTAGAAAATGATAATAGTAATAAAAAAAGATTCAAATTGAGGCTCGGACTAAATGTAGTGTCGACAACTGTCCCTTTTTATCCATTATCATGTGACGGGAATAGGGCACAGACACACTACTTTTGTCCTACATCTTCGTTCGTTTTGATATTGAGGATTAAGTCGTTTGCTATTTAAAACAACATTCTTCCATCATCTTGAGGACTTTGGTCATATTTTGATGATTTGATCCCTTATATGAGGATAACATATATTTATTAATGACATGGTTTCTTCGTGTTGAGGATTACTAGTTGCGGTTCAATGATTTGACCCCTCTTAGGAGGACATCAAGTTAGTTGACGATGTCGTTTCTTCGTGTTCAAAAAATCTAATTGTGTTTGGGTTGTTTTGATCATGAAGACAATATTGTTTCTTCACGATGAGGAAATCTAATTGTCTACAGGCGATTGCCTTTTGAATGATGCTATTCTTTTGCGTTGAGGAGATCTGGTCAGTGGACAGCATTATTCTTTCGTGTTGAAGAACTCTTGTCGTTTTAGGAGATAATTTGTCTTTGGAAACGACAATACTCATTCGTGTTGAGGAGAGATAGTCATAGTTGCCAATGATTGACTTGAAATGGAATCTTATTCTTCGACATGGAATTGTGAAGCGAAGTCTTTGCTAACGTTGAATTCCTGTCAAATATTTGAATGAAAATAAATGAGTGGAAGGAAATTCATTTCAAGAGGAACTATCTCAGATGAGATAAAATTTTGTTTCAAGTAAACATTTCAAAATTTGCGTTTCAAGGGAAAATTGTCTCAATCGAGAAGAAATTTGTTTTTAAGAAAAACAATCTCAAATGTTATCATTTTTTTTCAAGTGAAACAATTTCCAATTTTTTTTTGTTTTGTGGGAAGATTGTCTCAAGCGAGACAGAATTAGTTTTTTTAGGAAAATTATCTCAAGCGATATCAATTTTGTTTCAAGTGAAACAATTTCAAAATTTTGGGAAAACTGTCTCAAGTGAGACGAAATTTTGTTTCGAGAGAAACAATCTCAAGGATTTGTGTTTCAAGAGAAATTGTCTCAAGCAAGAAAAAAATTGTTTTTAAAGGAAACAATCTCAAGTGAGATGAATTTTGTTTCAAGAAAAATTGTCTCAAACGAGACAACTTTGTTTCGGGAGAAACAATCTCTAAGGTGACGGACAATTTGCTCATGCATGTTGAGGAGATCTAGTTTCCTTTCGAAGATCTGATCATTCACTTCATGATGTCAATGTTCGGACCGTCGGCGCACCCTATGGCACAACGGAAACAAAACTCAACAGTCTCACCAGCGATCCAAGTACGAAAAAACCGAAATCGGGATGAAAGGATGTGAATACTTACAATGGGTTTCTTGAAAAACAACAAAGGCATCAATGACTAATGGTGATCACGAACGGTTTGAATCGTAAGCCTCCACGAAAACGTGTCTCGGCCTGTACTTAGTTCACTCTATTGAGAGTAAATTTTTTTTTTCCCAAAAACAGTTTTGAGAAAAACAAATGAAGAAGAAGTGGATGCTAGACCTTACCTCACTTTAAATTATATCAGTTACCTTAACCTCTTAGGGATTTTAAGTTATTTCGAATTAATAAAAAAATCTTATTTAATTAATTCAAATTAAATATCCATTAAAGACTTATAATCTGAATTATAATCTTTAACATTTATTTAAACTCTTATTTAATTATTCCGAATTAAATATCGATTAAAAGAGTTGTAATCAAAATTACATTCTTTTAATGTTTACTTATTATATTCGGGATAATTAAAATCATATGTATATCAAATATACATATATTAACTCTAGATATATTTTAGTAACATACAACAAATTGTATATCTTTGCTCATTTCAATCCTATGGTGTGTGACCCTGTAGGCTCTTGTAACGTTAGTAGTAATTATTAGAACAATTCTAATATTACATACAATGAGTGACATCTAGCAATATATCATTGTCACCTAAGTTACAAGAAATTATGATTCGACATATCATCTTTGTGATTCACTCTTTTATGTATTACGTTCTTTTGTCCTTTATATCTAGAATAGACACAAGTCTTGGAATAGTCACACTTGTATAGCTCATCTATTGTTTCTTGATATCTGGAGTAGACTATAATTAACGAATAATTTGTGATATCTCATAACAACTTATTCGAGCATGGCCATGCATTTTTAGTCTCACTCAATCAAGTGACCTGCGATATATTTCCTAGTATGTATGAAGGACAAATCATATCTTAATCATACGCACTCACTACATATATCGAAATATATTCAATAACAATCTTTATAGTGTAACCAGTTACGGAGCATGTTTAACTGTATCAAAACATACAACAATATATGTTGGGATAACATTGATCTAAAGTTTGAGGATCATACATATAGTCATCACCATGAGCAATGTTATGATAGTTACATAATAATCCAAGACATATGCTCATGGTGGGTCAATCCGATACATTGTTCTCTAACAATATAATCATGTATTAATTCTGACATCTCTATGTTTTTGAAAACTTGTTGTCATAAATCAATAACGTGTTGGTCTTAATCGTATTATTATTGTCCACGCCCATAATAATACTTGACTATGAATCTTTTAATAATAATAATGTTATTATACGAACTTTATATTTTAATTTATTTTAAACAAAAACATATAACTAAAAATAATAGTGGCAACGCCTTCATTCAATAAAATTGGTAAACAAATGTATTATTACAATCATCGTATGATTGGTCTTTGGGCATACTCTAACAGTCAAACCTGTGGATAACATTGTTCTTTCGTGTTGATGATGTCTAGTCATCACCAAACTTTTATTTCCTGAAGGATCAATATAAAAATGATGCATTTATGAATGATTATCATGAATGTTTTTATGAATGTCAAGATGGAGTTTATTTCAAGTATTTTATTTGATTTTTATTTTGATAAAAATGACCTTTTGAATTCGTCCTCATGATAGGAGAAAATGACCTTGAGAGAGGAAAATTAGATGATGTTTTCGTGAGAGGAGAAAAATGTCTTTTAAGAACGAAATAAGGATTTCAGGGAAAACAGTCTTAAAAAAGACTAGATTGATGTTTTTGGATGAACAATCTTGAGAAAGATGAAACTAATTTCTCAAAAGAGATTATAAAAGAATCCTTACTAGAAATGAAAAAACCTTTTTTTATTGCATGAGATGATGAATGCATGATGCAAATGTGCATATTCATGTGATGTGTATGTTTATGTTGATGCATGTTTTATTGATCTGTGATGGGAATGGTTGCATGAGCGTCTTCATTCTCTCTCTGATTCGGTTATCTTCACTTTTTTGTTTGCTCTAGCATGCACTCTTGCACTTCTTGATTTTTGTCGATTTCTTCTTGCCCCGACAAAATTTTACCCCTGGGCTTCTTTTTTCTGGACTTGTATAGAAATCCAATAGAGTTTCCCTCATGATACCATCATCATCCTTTCCAGATGGTTTGAAAAGAGAATCTATCATTTCAAGCTTTTGACATTGAGTACGCACAACTGCTCTGTAGCGGGAAATCAAAGACCATTGCCTGGAGCTGACCACCGCAACAATTGATGGAATATCGGATTGCCTCAAAGAACCATGAGACACATATATGCCAAAGATGATAGTTGGACCCTTAGAAATAAATGGAAATGAAGGTGTTTGCTTAATTGTTAACATTGAATTCAGTCCTCCAAGTTTTGCATTGATTTTTAGAAGCAAATTCGTAAGGTATTGATCATTGATCCTAGTTGGAGCCATACACTGTGTCACTATGCCAAACTCGACAAGAGTCATAAAGATTAGAATTTTTCTTATCAGGTAAAACACAAAGGAGGAATTGTGGAGCTTCAGGAAGTTCAATTGGGTTTCCCTGATCATTTCTTCAAATTATTTCAACAAGATAGTAGTGTTTGTTCTGTTTGAGTTCTTGACTCACCTTGAATAGAGGATCTATCTGAATTGAATCCCGAATGAGGCTATTAGTATCACATCATGTTGAAAAATTAACGACAACCCATCGTTCAATCTCAGTTGGCTCCACTAGTTTCTTGCTGTTAAGATTTCATTGCTCATTCCACGACAATAAAACTTTGTCACTTTTAACCTTGGCACCGGAAAAAAACAACCTTCTATTTGAGAGAAATTAGAATTTAGAAACCTCATATGATCAAATCATTGGTCCAGTACCATAATTATTGGTACGTGATACATTCAGCAACTTATTCGTCATTTCTTGTGGCTTCTGTTTAGATTTTTAACCAGGGAAACTCTTTGCATGATGTTCAGAGATTTTGTATAGCATTGCAAGGACACCGAAGAGAAAAGCTCAGTTGTAATGTAAGTGGGATGCTTTGGCTTGCTAACATTAATGCATGGGAAATCACCAGAATAATGCTATTGTTTGTTGTGATGATAGACAAGGAAAGCATATATATAGTAAGTTCCACTGTCTCTACTTCACCATTTTTATTCTTCATGCCTTTCTGCCTCATAAATGTCTGCTCAATTCAATGATATTGTCTTTCTAAAAGATATGGGCCTTCAAATATGTTCCAACATTTATCATTTATGAATGATATGGGCCTAAAAAAATGCCCCATTACTTATCATTTCTGGCTCCAGTACTGATTCTAAGCACGAGCTTTATGTCTGAAAGCCACGTGTCAACCACCAAGATCAACTCCGGAGAGATTGTCTTTTTTGAAATTGTTTTTCTTTTTCCTTTATTTTCAAAATTTTGAAAAAATATTGCCCCTTAATTCAAGCTCACAATTGAAGCAAATCGTAAACATGAGTTCATAGAATATCAAAAGAATCAATTGTTCTTTAAATTTTCATAGTTATATTCCTTTGACAAGAGTCAAGACTGATGGTTTAACT